TGGAGTTAAGGTATTTAAAAAGTCTCCTGCATACTTTGATCAGATGTATCAATAGCTTCATCAAAACTAAAATAGGTGAAAGATTCTCCAAGAAAGTGACTAATCAAAAAATTAATGATTTCATCAACGTACTCATTTTTTGGAGTTAAAATAACTCTATTAATCATGTAATGAAGATTGTCAGTATAATGATTTAAATCTAGGTAAACTATATCTATTAGTGTTTGTAAAGAAGTGGTGTGTTCTTCAAAATCTATAGTTATATCAGGCGGAAGTTGTATCATATTACATGAATGTTTTTTTTTTCAATTCCGTCTCCAATATTGAGTAAATATTTAGAAAACGATGTATCTAATCGAGCTCTCATGTTTTGACTTGATCTTAGTTTTGTAAATAACGGCCATAAATAAGATTAACAAGACTTGCTTTTATTACATCGTCTTTACTACCTCTTTGAACTACAAGTAAGATTTGACAAAAATCTCCTCCTAAGACAACAACTTTACCTCTGAATGGGAACTCACAATCATTAACATCTCTAACATTTTATCTTATGCTTCAACTACATATCGATTCACCATTGGAGCTTCATCCCATATAATTAGTTTTGTCATTCATAAAAGTTCAGCAAGTGCACTTTGTTTACTAATGTTACATATTGTGTCACTACAAATCTCTAGAGGTATTTTAAATTTAGAATGTGCTATTTGTCCATCAGGCAAAAGACCAGCTGCAACACCAGAAGATGATGTTGCTAAAGCAATCATTTTTCTTGACCTAACATTACCTAGTAATGCACGATATAAAAAAGTTTTGCCTGTTCCACCAGGGCCATCAACAAAGAACATGCCGCTAACATTAGTATCTACTTTATTTAGAATTGCATTATATGCTGCTTTTTGTTCAGTATTAAGTTGATGTGGACACATAATATCTACTTCTGAGACATTAATGCTTAGTTCATCATTTATTACTCTAGTAACATGTTCATCTTCTTGCAGATTTATATTGTATGATACAAATCCATAACTATTAATAGATTTACCAGAAAGTTCTAAAGTTGCATGAATTTCTAAAAGAGCTTTAAGTTTAGCAGTTTGCATAGACATGCCAGCATGTATGAAATCCTCAATCATAAATATTATGAATTTGTTCCACAGATTTTTCGGATCATTTGGAATACACAAAGTTAGAATTGTTGCAAAAAGACGGCGAAATGGAGTAGGCATTTGATACTCTGAAGCTTTCTGCAAACACAAATCACAATTAGCATCTCCATTAAGTAAACCATGTAAAGTGCAGCTTCTCGAAAAGATGA